CCATGTAGGCTCTGTTCAGTCTCGCTAAATCTGCAACTCCATCATAGAATTCCTGCACAAACTGCATGACACGGGGCCCAACCGTACTCCAGCTAGCATGATAGAAACCGGGCCCGAAACCATCTGGCCCTGGGGCGCTGCACCTGTTCATCTGCCGGACAGCGGCATGGGCCTCGCTGGAGGTGAACGGGGCAGTGAGCGCGTCGGCATCGACACAGGGTGGTTCCGGGTAAACCGCTTGCAGGTCGAACAGCCACTGTGTTGTATCTTTTGTCCCCATGATCCCAGCAAAATATTGGGTGAGGGCCTGCGTCTTTGCATTATGGGCAGTCAGCGGCACGCCATCAACCTCGATTAGCTTGATTTGGTTTCGCCGTAGCTTCTGAGTAGCCTGTGCATGGTGAAACTTTGTGTTTGCATCTCCTTCCTTGATGGCCTGAAATTTCCCACGTTGCTTCCAATATGCCGCGCGCTCACGAACGATGAGCGCGAGGTGTTCCCGACACGTATCCCGGACATAGGCTTCTCCTGCAGACAAAGGGCGATCTTCCTCGAGCACGTCAAAGAGGTAAATAAGGAGCTTGCAGTTTTGTAAGAGGAGAGGAGGGTATTTGTGTTTCCTGTGCCAAACCTTTGCAGCGCACCGGACAGCTCTGAGGCTGCCAGCGAGGTGGCCTGCAGCACCACTGCGGGCAAGAGCAGAGTACCAAGCCGGGAGTACCGTGGGTAGGAAGTCAGAATGGTGTAACCAGGCATTCTCGAAGCGGAAGGTGTTAGGCTTGGGAATGTTTGTGGAAATGGAGGCTAGCAAGGGTGTGTGATCTGAGGTGGAGCGAGTGAGTGAAGTTAAAGTAGTGTTGGGGAAGAGCATGCTCACGGGGAGATTGAGAAAGGTACAATCGAGCCGGGCGAGGGTTGGGTGTTCACGGTTGTTGGACCACGTAAACAACCGGTCGAGAAGAGGGAGCTCAACAAGCTCGAGAGTGTTTATGGTAGCGTTGAAGGAGTCAGCCAGAGCGGAGTTGAAGTTTTCATTGTTCTTGTCGTTTGTGTCGCGCAACAAGTTGAAGTCACCAGCTAGGAACCAGGGCCGTCAACATGAGCAGCAACGTCTAGCAGGGAGGATAGGAACTCAGCGGAGTGGCGGTGATCTGATCAGCGGGGGCATAAACTGGATATCCGTGGTGGTCGAGGCGAGCGTGGTGGTGAGTGTGTATTGGCGTTGGCTGTAGGAGATCAAAGTGAAAGCGTTTTGATCCCAGGCTGTCACAAGCCCACCTCTGGAGCCGGTGGCATCAAGGGAGTGGTGGGTTAGCAGGTTTGGAGGGAGGGAGGTAGCAGCTTTGAACCTATCGATGTCGCTGATCTTAGTTTCCTGGAGGCAAATAATAGTTGGGGAGGAAGGAGCAAGGGTGTCGCGGACCAGGTTAGTTTCACCTAGACCACTCACATTCCAGGAAACAACATTGATTTGTTTAACACTATCAGCCATAAGAAACAAGGGGGCACCTGGATAGATTAAAGTGCAGGAAAATAGAAGCATAGTAGCACATACATACAGAGGGGAATATTAGAACAGAGAAAACTACAAAGAGAAACGTAAGGTAGCTGGAGCATGAGAGGGGGCTCGGCACGCAGGCCGTAGTAGGAGGAAGAGTAAGCTAACGCACTACGATTGCTAATGGGAAGTGGCAGAGCAACCATGCGTTGAAGTTGTCCCTTGTGACTCATTCTGCATTGGCGATCACCAGGTCAAGGCCACGGGCAGCCACATCGCCCAGTCCAGCAACGACAACCAGGTTGCGCAGGTCACGGTTGGCCATCGGCTTCTTCTTCTTGGCCATCAGGTTCTTCTTCTTGACAAACTGTTGCAGTTCCTTGGAGCATCCCTTGAGGTTGTTCTGTATTGCTTTCAGCTGCACGGCACGCGTAGTCATGTCAACGAAGAGCTATGGTTCCTTCTTTTGCAAGCCGAGCACTTGGGCGCTTGACGATCGTTGGCACTGGCTGCACACGCCGGACACTGGCACGGCGCTGGCGGGAGCGTGTACGTGAGGCGCCACCCATGCTTGGAGGTGGCGAGGATGGCGGCTGTGGGGTAGAGTGGGTGTGTGGTGGTGGGCTTTGTGGTGACAGCGGAGGGGATGGCGGGGGTGATGGCTGCTCTGCAAAAGGCACGTCAGTCTCGTACCAAGTGAGGAGCAGGGGAGTTTTGCGAGGGCTCGGCGTGGTGGTGCGCTGCGATGGCATGGTAGGGGGGTAGGCATGGATGGCATTTCCTGATGGTTGAGCTGCGCGGCCTTCGGCCAAATCCTGACAACAGACACTCTGACCACACATCCACCGCCTCCAGGTGTTCTGATCCAAACAGCATCCGGGACATCTGCCTCATCATCCTCAAATTCAATCACCACACGGACAGACGAGAAATCAAAAACCGGTAAGGCAGGTTGGGTCAATTTCCATGACAGTGCCCAAACAACGCAGTGGGGCATTGATGTGCTCCGGGAACCAATGTTCAATCGGGAAATCGAGCACCGAGAGGTAGGCAAGCCAATCAGGTGTATGCTGAAATCTGTTGTCTGTCTCTTCTGATCTTTCTAGCTCAAGCCGCACACCATTATGCAGGAATGGACTGAAATGCATAGCAGCCTCTCTGGACTCAACATCATGGAAACGTGCCAGGAGGGCACCCCTGGAAGAAGGCAACAACTCGAACTGAATCGGCCCAACCTCATGCTCAATGGCCTCTCTGATAAAAGGAGCAGGATTTGCCACCGGTGGCAACAGGAACACATATGCATAGCTTTTTCATAGGCATAGGCGGCATAGCTTTTTCAAAAGATCCCATAAACATAGCTGTGTGCGAAGTGTGAACCAGAAATCAAGTTGAAGCATGGCACAGTAATGCAGGGGCAGGCAAAAACGAATATTAGAACCAAAGCAGGATGTGGTGGAAACAGAATCGAAGCAGCAGAGCGCGGAGACGTACCTGGAGAGAGCACCGACAACCGGCGACGGAGACTGCAGAGGGAAGAAGCAAGCAGTAACCGAGGAACCACACGAGGGCAGGAAGGGAAGAGGAACCAAACAAAGAAGATGATCGGAGCGTGAGGAGGAGGAAGAAACGGAATCGAAGCAGAATGCAGAGGAAAGAATAAAGGAATGAGGAACACACCTAGAAGGCACGCCGGCGAGCAATCCCCGGCGATGGAGACGGCAGAACAGAGACCCGAGAAACCGAATCGGAGCGTGAGGAGAAGGAAGAAAAGGAATCGAAGCACAATGCAGAGAAAAGAAAAAGGAATGAGGAACACACCTGGAAGGCACGCCGGCGACCAATCCCCGGCGATTGAGGCGGAGGCCGGGGGAACCGAGGTGAGCGGAGGAAGAAGAGAAAAGCGTCGGCGCCACGGGGATTGATGGAACCGACATACACCGCCGAGTCACCATTCGACACATGCGGCGCACCACCGGGGCTGAAATGATGCGAGCGGCAGGCCCAAACGAAAATCACAGCAGGCCGGCCAAGAAGGTGAGGGGCCTCGAAGACGATGGGCCGCGACCGGCGAGCCGCAAAAGTGCATCCCAAGTTCCCAACGCACTGCCGGATGGCTGGCCCACCAGCGTGCACACGTTGCCCACGGACTGGCCGCCGAACGGGAAATTCGCACACAGCAGGCCGGCGAAGAAGGTGAGGCCTCGAAGACGATGGACCGCGACCGGCGAGCCGCAAAAGTGCATCGCAACGCACTCCCGGATGGCTGGCCCACCAGCGTGCACGCGTTGCCCACGGACTGGCCGCCGAACGGGAATTGATTTCTGGCAAAGACATAGCTTTTCCAACTTCATTTTTGGCCCACCAGCGAAACGCACGGGATATTGTTGGGTGGTCTGCAATTAGACCTTGGGTGGTCTTCATCATCGATCTGCAGCTGCTGCTAGGATACTCATATTCTACTGGTGTTCTACGGCTTTTCACATTCGGTAGCAGGCACACGAGGATGTTGTGATTATGTCATGAAAATTTGAGGCAAAACTAACAGGAACTAGGATGTATTCTGCAACGTAATGACAGTAGACGACTGGTTGCAAAAGTAGCAAGCATATGCACTTCCCTTCTAATTATTCGAATGAACAGATCAATACAATAGGCCAATAGCCTCCGAGGGGTGGCTTGAAATGACAGAGATGGAAACAAATTCGCTGAGGACCGTCCGCAAAAGGTCACTGTGCAGTGGATGAACGACGCGTGGACTGGTAGCGGCATCTACCAAGAGCAGCGATTGGGCTTCGCTCCCGCAGGCCGACACTCTCGGCTATCGGCTCCCTCACTCGGTGCCTCCGGCTCACCGCTGCTTCAATTAGCATATGCCCGCTCGTAATCGGAACTAGTTGTGTTGATTCTTCTTCGCCGTTGGACGGCGCAGGCAAACAAAGACGCCATGGAAGGATCCAGGGACGACTAAAAGGACGCCGCAGTACGTCATCGCGTACATGAGGAAGATTGGATGCGGAAGGAGGTCGTTGCCGTTCTTTGGCGCAGTTGATGGCGAATCCTGCTCTTGCAGGCGGCGGCGCCGGTGTCGGATCGAGCCTTTCCTTTGTTTCGCTGTAACTGCGCCTGGAGACAAAAGTAACGGTTGCTGGAGCCAAGCCGATCCAATCGTTGCTTCTGTTCGATGCCTCTACCATGTCCACGCGTCGGTCATCCAAACAGGGTCCGTACGGTGACCTTTTGCAGACGATTCGTTGTGAATTTTTTTCGAACAGGGATCTCTCACCTTCTGTTTTTTTTATTACACAGTACAACTAAGACACTCACAACGCACGCACACTCACCCCTATTAATGTACATACGCAAACTCTACCTCTATGAGCATCTTCGAAGACTGAGCCGGCAAATCCTCCAGATTGACGAAGTCACCACTGGCGCCTCGCTGTCGACGGCCACGTCGCCTACCGCTGAAAGCACAAATGCCGTTAAATCCTAGAAAATTCGCTCCCACCGGGAATCAAACCCAGGACCTCAAAGCTGCTACTCGGATGCCTTAACCACTAGGCTAAGACCCCTTTCACTCTCTCACCTTCTGTTTAATTCCTGGCACCTTGAGGACCTTTTTATTCACCTCTCTTTTTCTGCAAGAAGGATAGGGCAGAACAAGAAGATTAGGTACAGTTCCATACATAACCTACAATCACTTAGATATGGCTTCGCAAAAATTGACTCATCAAAATTGGCTGTGGAACCATAACTGTTGAAACAGAATAGCAAGAGCAAGATGACCCTAATGCTTAGATCAGTATGGGACTCATGCACATTTTATCGAACAGGTGTAGGGCGTCTGCTGTGCATGTGGTGCTGGCGTGCTGCTGGAGTTTGGCCACTCGCACGCCTGTACTCACTACTCACAAAGGTAACCAAACATTCTCACAAACACTTTGCATGCACAGGAGGGGAAGGGGGAGGAGGACCATGAGCCTGGGTCGTGATCGTTGTCTCGTGGAGGTGGGAGGGCGTCCATGGCGAGGCAGTGTTGGCCGTCGGGACCGTGTTCCCTGTGGCGCGGCCGCTGCTCCTGCTCGAACACACTCGGATTCATGACAAGTGGATGGAGACGGGGATGGTGAGGAACTGAGGATGACTTACCAGTACCTACACGGTCGAGATGAAGCGGCCACTCGGGCAGCGAGCGGCGGCCGAGCAAGAGCGGAGTCACTCTCCCGCTAATTAACAGCAAGAAGGCTAGCACTTGTTTGCGGCGAAGCTGACGGTGCCCTTGGCAGTGTCGAAGGTGACGCGCGTGCCCTGCTGCTGCACGTTCCCGATGATGGACACGGCCGCGTTGGTGGGCGTGAACGCCAGGCAGTAGGTGCCGATGCCGTCGACGGGGATGAGATAGTTCTTCGCTGGCAGCCGCAGCGTACCATCGTCCTCGAACCGCAGCGCCACCGCTGGCACGTCCACGCTGGTCCGGTCCGATAGGTTGGTGTCGAACAGCGACACCCCGGGCCCGGACGTGCGGGTCAGCGAGGGCGTGACGCGGACGAAGGCATCACGCAGCGCGGCGAAGGCTGAGACCTGGAGTCGCGTGACGGGGTGCCGGAGTCCACGATGACGCCGCCGATGCCGGAGGCGTCCATGGCGAAGGCCAAGGTTGGGATGGTCAAGCACCTGCCCGCCCATAGAGATGCCAGCGAGGCCGATCTGTAGAAAGTGTTGTTGCGCGGGCTGCGGAGGAGCGGCGCCGTGACGGCGTCCGGGTCGCTGGCGCCGTCGCCGAACTGGAGCGTGGACTCGGCGGGGGAGTCGCGGTCCACGAGGCAGTAAGAGAAGGTGGTGGCGGAGATCTGGGACGGGAAGGAAAGCGGGCCGGCGCCGAGCGCGAGCAGCCCCGTGGCGCCGACGAAGAGGCCCTCGTCGTCGTGGCCGCACCCGATGGCGACGTTGCTGATGGGCGGGTGAGTCGCCCAGCGTCAGCGTCTCGGTCGCAAAGTCCCTGACAGTGTAGGAGCCGTCGCCGTAGGCCAACCTCGTAGAGGCAGGCCCAGTGGATTTGCGGCAGGCGGTGGCGGCGGCGTCGAGGTCGCGGCAGCGCGGGCCGTCGCAGGGCACGAACACGGTTCTTTTGAGAAACTTCCACACCACTTGCCACTGAAGCAGGGCGACGATTTTTTTTTTATTATTTTTTTTTTTTGTTGAACTGAAGCAGAGCGACGATTTTTTATTAAAGTCGATTCAAAGCGGTTAACATATCAAAAAACAAACTCGGGGCATTCGAATTCAAGCCTGTCTCAATTCAATTTGAAGTGAATTCGAAATGACCCAGATGGCTGATTAACCTTATTAGGGGGCAGCGTATCCTATGAGAACCAGGTTCGTGCGAGAACTATGAGAACTCTAATCTGGGTCATATGATCTTGATCCAATGATGCGCTTGAATTCAGGTGGGAGGGGGGATTTACAAAATCACCGTCCACTTAATCATACTTTTGCAAATTCCCTCTCCCACCTCTCCCTATACGCCCTCCTTGGATCAAGATCATGTGACTCATATTGGAGTTCTCATAGTTCTCACACGAACCTGGTTCTCATAGGATACGTTGCCTTATTAGGGAGTAGTATAATTGAAAAAAAATATTATATGACACCGTTGGCTTTTTTCGTTACTTTAACCATTTGCTTTATTCATAAAACTTGTGCAAATAGCTAAATGTATAAGTTAATATTAAAATGCTTTTATGATATATTTAACAATATTATCAATATCCTCGCAAAAAAAAACCAATATTATCAATATACATTTCACGTTAAACAACTAATTATGTTCATATAGATTGTTTGTCAAAGTTTAACAAAAAAATCAACGGTGTCATATAATTAAAAACCAAGGGAGTAGAGATTATAGGTGTGCAAAATTTTACATTTTGATTAAATATAACGGCTGCACGAGGCTTTTACATCTGATAAATCACAGGTGTGAAAGCTGTTAACCATTTCTACAGATCGTGTGTGCAAGCTGTTACATCTCCAGTCAATTATCCTTTCAGAAATGACATGGTTGCCAACTCTACAGCAAAGATTTCTGAACCTTACACCGGACAGTGAAAGATAAGGCACGGATCAGAGGATGAAACAATGTGAACTGCTAATACATTCAGTAGTAAAAGGTAGGAGCACTAAAGGAAATTTAGTGGCCAATATACGAACAGATATTAACAGATACTAACTGATACTGTTACTCATACAAGTTAGTGGCCAATGTGAATTGCAATTAACTGATACTGTTACTCATACAAGTTCTGAACCGGACAAGACAGCCGAACCAGGAGCTACGTCAACACCCAATAAAGAAGGTGCAAAGTAAATTTGATAGTAAGCCAATCAGATTGGTATCAAACAATGCCATGCTACATCAAAAATCAAATATTCAACAAATTGTGGCTCTATGGATACTGTAAACAGTTCTTTGCCTAGTGCGGTCTCCAAGTAGCATGTTGATTCCATGGCGTTCCTTGGTGAGGTTGTGGTCTGTGGGGAGGTGGAGGCTGAAATGGCAGAAGTGGAAGCAGTTGCCCTTGAAGAGGTGGAGACTGAATACCTGGCACATTTGGATGTTGTGGTCCGTGGGGAGGTGGAGGCTGAAATGGCACAAGTGGAAGCAGTTGCCCTTGAAGAGGTGGAGGCTGAATACCTGGCACATTTGGATGTTGTGGTCTGTGGGGAGGTGGCGGCTGAAATGGCACAAGTGGAAGCAGTTGCCCTTGAAGAGGTGGAGGCTGAATACCTGGAACATTTGGATGTTGTGGTCTGTGGGGAGGTGGCGGCTGAAATGGCACAAGTGGAAGCACATGCCTTTGAAGAGATGGAGGCTGAATACTTGGAACATTTGGAGGTTGTGGTCTGTGGGGAGGTGGCGGCTGAAATGGCACAAGTGGAAGCGGTTGCCCTTGAAGAGGTGGAGGCTGAATACCTGGAACATTTGTAGGTTGTGGTCTGTGGGGAGGTGGTGGCTGAAATGGCACAAGTGGAAGCGGTTGCCCTTGAAGAGGTGGAGGCTGAATACCTGAAACATTTGTAGGTTGTGGTCTGTGGGGAGGTGGTGGCTGAAATGGCACAAGTGGAAGCAGTTGCCCTTGAAGATGGAGAGGCTGAATACGTAGCACATTTGGAGGTTGTGGTCTTCCAGGCGGCCTTGCCCCATAATGGGGCCCTGGAGATCTGTAGGGGTTGAATGGCGGAGGCCATACCCCATACTCGCTAACTGGAGACCTACGGGTGTTGAGTGGCAAAGGCCTTAACCCATAAGAACCTTCTGCTGACCTGGAAGGGTCAGGCAGTGGACGACTTTGTAGTGGAGTTCTGAACCCTGAAGGATCAACAGGATGTTGCAGGCTTTTGGTAGTTCTGGAGCCTGTTTCTCTTGGAATAACATGTGGAGATCTGGGCGTCTGACCACCTGCAACCCCTGCTTTTCCAGAAACTGAAGGTTTGTCACCTCCAGATCTTGGTCCCTGGAAACACAATATCAAAATCATATTGGCAGAAAGGTCCAAATAACAAAACTAAATATAAAAATAGATGAGATATCACAATACGTTTGCTGCAAAATCTTTGTTCTCTTTTATAGGAGTAACTCTATCTAGAATGTTGAAATGTTAGAGAAGATATACAACGGAAGTAACTCCATGTCAAATTAGCACAGATTGGAATCTGGAACTATGCAACACATAAGGTATCCAGGATTGTAAAATGTAGTTGATTTCATTAGTTTACTTAGCTAACAAGTTAGGCCAGACATAAGTATCAGATTAGCAGCTCAAGAGATTTTTTAGAGCCATATTATGTTCTTTGATTGCTATGTAAGAAAATACTTTGAAAAAGAGCCGAGTAAAAGATTTTAACTGCACCTTCATCATCTGATCCAAGATAGCTTCTTTAGCATTTATTATAGCCTTCGTGGTACCAGTAACTTTGACTTGTTCTCACTGGGTATATGCCTGCAGAGGAACTTTTAACAATTTATCTTTCAAAAGCATGACAACACAATAGAAAATCGAAAATAGCCATACCGTTTATCTTGGCACCAGTCTTTCTGTTGAATTTTCTTGAAGAGTTGTCCTCTGTCACTAGGCGCACCTGCACCATACAGAAATCAAGACCCCATTTATTCATACAAAGTACAAAAAGACCAGTTTTTTCCCTAACCAGATATGACCTAGCTTGTGCCTAAAATTCAACTCTAGTGGAGAATAACTAAGAGCCTGATAGGACAATCCTCAAAGCATATGTATGTGAAGTAACGGAAACAGCCTTGATCAAATCACACAGACTGATATAACATGCATAGTGTTACTTGGAAATTACAGTAACATTCGTCATATGATTGTTGTTTGAAACATAAACATTCCCGTGATTAGGTGCCCTCTACTTTAATCCACCCAAATCTGAGTAGAGAAAATTCAACTACAGAAAAGCTAGGCAACCTGATTAGTGGGGAGAACCAAGTAGTCCTCATTAGCCTGCAAAATAAGTACAATGACTTATGCAAATACATATCAAACGAATAG